GCTGGGAGACAGAGGCAGGGAAGGGATTTTGACAGGCAGAGACAATCCTGAAAGGCTCAGGTGGCCTCACAAGGAGTTTGTCAGCAAATCCTCTGTCAGGGCTCCTGATCCTGCTCCTGGTGAGGGCAATTCCATGGATAAACTACAATTTTGGCTGGGGTATGAATTTTAAATGAGCTTCTTTATCACACCCAATGAATCAAGCCAGAAAATGCCAATTTAGGGCCCCCACGCTCTGCTCAGCGAGGCCGAGTAAATAACCCAGTAAATAACTCAGGCAAATTTCCTGACACCTCCTTCAGCATGAGTGAACAGGCAAAAAACAAACCCAGAACTGCTCCCACACACGATGTGTGCTGCAGGAAAGCAGGGCCAGGGGAGATGCTGCCCTGGAGGGAAAGAGGGAGCTGATGATTTTTGGTTTTTGGGGTGGCTGGATGCAACACAACCTGTGCAAGAACTCCCAGGATATTTTGGGAGGCCTTGCACTGGTTCTTCCAAGGGCTCCAGGCTGTCTGGAGGCAATTCCTTCCCTCTGAGAGTTCTTAAAGCTGTTGAGAACACTCCCATCCCTGCCTGCTCCTTCCCTCCCTGATCCGACCCAGCTTTTGAGGTCCATGGAGATAATAATTCACCCAGACAGAGCAGGGAGCTGACTGACAAAAGACATCCTCAGTAAAACATCACCATTCCAAATACAGCTTTTTTACACCTGGATTTCCCCACCAAGGTCTCCAGAAAAGCAGGAGCAAGTAGAGTTTCTCCAGGGCTACATCAGAAGAGAACAAACAATGTAAGGCTGAAAGAACAAGTCTGCACTGATGGCTTTTCCTCTCTGTGTATCAAGGAGAGAAATAGAGCGTTCAGGAGCCTCCAGGCTGCTCCTCGGCAGCCAAAGGCACGGGGAAGGTGACCCTGTAGCCCACATTCTGCTCAATTCCTTGCACAGATGATGCCTCTCCAGCTCACTGCAATGCAACACTCGCTGTGGTCCTGTCCAGGCCAGCACAAACTCACTCAGAGATGAAGCAATCTGCTGCCTCTCCACTCCACTGAGAGCTGCCAGGGCCAAGATCCACCCCAAACCCCAAAAAAGCAGCAGCAGGGAAGCTCAGGGCTCGGTTCCCAAGCCAAGTGTCCCTGACTCAGCACCACCGAGCTCCCTTCTGCCTGGAAGGCAGGAGCTGCAGGGAATAATCTCTTTTTCCTGGTGAAGAACCCACCCTGACACTGCCCAGCTCACCTCCCATTACTGAGCACATCCCTGTGCATTTCAGCAGCCCCTTATCAGATGGTTTCCAGGATTGTTTTAAACCTCTGTTCGCATTTTCTTTGAATATTTAAATGTTCTTGCTGGCCTGTTTTTCCTTCCCTATGCAGAGCATTGATTTATGTTGCTAGATACCATATCTCCCTGCCTTGCCAAAAGCATGCATTTGGGAATGATTTCAGGGCTGCTGGTCATATTTTTCTCCCTCTTTTTATTCTGCACTTTATTTTTATTAACTTTTTTGTTGGAGGCGCCGTAAAAATGAAACTGTGGCTTGAAGGAACAACACTCATCAAACCCCCCACACCAAAGCAAGCTGAAGGCAGCTGCCATTCCCACCTGGAAGCTGCTGCACAGATTTGAGTTTCCAGTCCTTAAAAGCTGAAAATCACAGTCCCAGGTCTCAAACAGCTTCACCTTTCACTCTGGGGAGGTGGGAAAAAAACGGACCCCACGTTTGCAGCTCTGTGCTGTCAGAGGAGGTCTCCTTTTCTTCCTCACTCCCAAAAACCCCACAGGGCTCCCAAAAAAGATTGGAGACAAATAAAAATGAAGGATTTTCTTTCAATGGTTCAGGATCTCAAACACTTTGACCTTTCACTCTGGGGAGGTGGGAAGCAAACTGACCCCAGGTTTGCAGCTCTGTGCTGCTGAAAGATCTCCCCCTTTTTTTTTTTCCATGCTCCCAAAAACCCCACAGTGCTCCAGAAAAGATGGGACCTGAAGCAAAATGAAGGATTTTCACCTTCAGCATCCTGATAATTCACTCTCCATCCCCATCCCTGCCTGCTGCCTCGAGTGGAGGATGTGCCCATCAAGGTGAAATGCAGGCAGCAGGGCTGGGAGCGTGCAGGGAGTGCTCCACATGAATCAGGGATTCCAGGGACATAAAACACCCAGCCGCCCTTCCCAGGCTCCTGCCAGCTCACACCCTCCCTCCCCATATTTCCTGAGCTGCCTCATGCTCCACCAGTGGAGGGGAGAGGTAATTTTACTTCAAGTGTGTCACCTGTGAAAGTTGCAAATGGGGACAGGAATGGATTGGCTGCTTATCTGCAACAAATGGTTAATAAAGGCAGCCCGAGGCTGCAGGGGGAGCAGCCAGGGAAGCATTTCCTTTCCAAACAACACAGCCAAGTGTCAGTTCTGGGAGGTGAGCTCCATTACGAGGGTTCTGGATGGATTTCTGTTCCCTAATCCACATGGGCAGACAGGGGAAGTGATGGTGCCTCTCCCTGAGTGCTTCTTGGCACAGCCCAAAGGGGCCTGGACTCCTGGGGCTTCCTGCAACTGGGAATTTTGGGGTTTGCACAGCTCTTGTGACACCCTTGAGCTGGGGGCAGGCTGGACTCTGCTCCCCCTTGCTCAGTGATGGAGGGAAAATATATTTGTGAGAGAAATATTTAATTTTATGTGGAGTTTAGGAGAGGGGTAGAGCATGGCAGGGGTGATTTTAGCTCAGTAGCTCTTTGAGGGGTGGCTTTGAATTCACACAGGAAGGGCAACATCAACACCATGAAAACCAACGCAAATACAGAAATTCACCATAAACTGCATTTCATTGACAAGAGGAAGAGACAACATCCCCAAAAGGCAGGGAGGAGCTTCAGCAAGTGTGGCAGCTCACCATAAACTGCATTTCATTTACAAACTAGAGACAGAGCATTCCCAAAGTGCAGAGAGGAGCTCAGAGTGTCCACTCACCATAAACTCCATTTCATTGACAAAAAGGAAGGAGAGAACACTCCCAAAATGCAGGGAGGAGCTCAGCAACTGTGTCAACTCATCACAAATTAATTTCGTTTACAAGAGGAAGAGACAACATGCCCAAAATGCATGGAGGGACTTCAGCAACACTGTCAACTCACCATAAACTAATTTCATTTACAAAAGGGAAGTGAGAACGTTTCCAAAATGCAGGGAGAAGCTTCAGCAAGTCTGTCAGCTCACCATAAACTAATTTCATTGACAAGAGGAAGGAGAGAACATTCCCAAAATGCAGTGAGGAGCTCAATGTGTAAACTCACCATAAACTGCATTTCATTTACAAAAGGAGGGAGACAACATTCCCAAAAGGCAGGGAGGAGCTCAGCAAGTGTGTCAGCTCAGCACAAACTGCATTTCATTTACAAACCAGAGACAGAACATTCCCAAAATGCAGGGAGGAGCTCAGAGTGTCCACTGACCATGCAGGAGAACCTTTCACTCAGTGTCAGCCCCACCTGTCAGCCCCACCAGGCAGGGAGGATTCCAAGAATCCCTCCAGAGCATCACTGGGAAAACATTTTCATTTTACATTGAGTCATTTCCCCACTAGTTTTTAATCTGTAAAATCTCAGAGTTCTCCACGTCTTTTTCTCTCTGATCTTCTCATCAGAGGAAGTACAGTTGTAAGGGCTGGTGGAAAGACAGTGAATATAGATTAAAAAAAACCAGAGTCTTCTTCCAATGGTCAAGTTCTGCTAATACACCAAATTTTGCCTTCTTCTAATGGTCAAGTTCTGCTAATACACCAAGTTTTAGAGGTACAAGCCAGTGTTGTCTCTGTGAACTTGGTGATACTGCCACAACTTCCAGCATCTGACTGGTAAAATCTACCAAAGCCTTTGTAGATTTTTTAAATATTAATATTACTATTTCACAGTAAATTGTACATCTAGTTTTGCTCTTGTTTGTGTGAACATAGGTGTACGTATAAGCATAAAAATAATTATATATTAAATATTTTATATATAATATATTATATATATTACATATACATAATATATAATATATTATATATTTGTATAATATAATATATAAATATATTATATTTTATATATTTATGTTATAGGTAAAATATATATTTATATATTATATATTCTATTATATATTTATATTATATAAACACGTATGTATATAGTAAGGTGTTGCCAACCTTACTACAGTCAGATATTCTTCTCCACGTCTTTTTCTCTCTGATCTTCTCATCAGAGGAAGTACAGTTGTAAGGGCTGGTGGAAAGACAGTGAATATGGATTAAAAAAAAAGAGTCTTCTTCCAATGGTCAAGTTCTGATAATACACCAAATTTTGCCTTCTTCTAATGGTCAAGTTCTGCTAATACACCAAGTTTTGTCTTCTTCTAATGCTCAAGTTCTGCTAATACACCAAATTTTGCCTTCTTCTAATGGTCAAGTTCTGCTAATACACCAAGTTTTAGAGGTACAAGCCAGTGTTGTCTCTGTGAACTTGGTGATACTGCCACAACTTCCAGCATCTGACTGGTAAAATCTACCAAAGCCTTTGTAGATTTTTTAAATATTAATATTACTATTTCACAGTAAATTGTACATCTAGTTTTGCTCTTGTTTGTGTGAACATAGTTGTACATATAAGCATAAAAATAATTATATATTAAATATTATATATATAATATATATAATATATTATATATATTATATATACATAATATATAATATATTATATATTTGTATAATATAATATATAAATATATTATATTTTATATATTTATGTTATAGGTAAAATATATATTTATATATTATATATTCTATTATATATTTATATTATATAAACATATATGTATATAGTAAGGTGTTGCCAACCTTACTACAGTCAGATATTCTTGGGCTTTATTAATTTCTAAATAGGTTTATTGCTTCTCCATAGCAGGAGTTCCTAATAAGAAAATAAGAATAATAAACCCAACCCCAAGCCAGGCGAGCACTCACCAATCCTCAGGGAATGGGGGCTGGCCCAGATCCTCATCAGCCACAGCAGAAGGAGCACCAGAGGCGCCAAGACACGGAGCATCTTCCATAAATCCTCATGGAGCCCTGCGGTGGTCTGGGCATGACATAACTCTGCAGGGAGACACCAAACACGGCCGTGAGCCCCTCTGCTCCCCCCCAGCAGCACCACTCAGCCTCGGAGACAAAAGCTCTATTTACCCAAGGAGGAGGAAGCTATTTACAGACCATGAATTATTCAAGATTTGGAATCCAACTGGGCAGAGAGCTCCGTGCAAGAAAAAAATTTTAAAAATTAAAAAAAGGGAAGGAACACGAGGAAAAATCCAAATATTTCATCTTGGCATTTTTAGCGTTTCAACAAAAACAAGTGGAAATCAATACTGAGTCACATCTCTGACTTCTATTCTCACCCACCCCCCCTTTCTCTCTCCACTGAGAGCAGCCTGCAACTCATTATATAATACTGGCTTCTGATTTTAGGATGGGACAAAACATTTTCATAGCAAAACGTGATTTGAGGGAAGGGTTCAGGAGGAAAAGTCACTTGGGCCTCACCAAACTAGAAACCAATTCCTTGCCACAATTCCAGTCACCTCCTTCCCTCCCTTTCAGGAACAAGAGGGTCCAGCACAAGACCAAGAGCATCTTTTTTTTTTTTTTGTCCTCTTTTTTTGTCTCACCACCCAACCACGCAGAGTTCCAAGTTCCAAAGTCAGAACACCACCAAAATGAAGGGCAGGAGGTGAAAAATCCACAAACTCATCATCAGCACAGATATTGGCACTGGCTGTCCCACAGCAGGCTCCTGCAGCACAGCTAATCAAATTTGTAACAAATACCATTTTAAACAGCTTCATAAAGGGCAGATTTTACTTCATAGGAAAAAAAAAAGGCAAAAAACTGTTGTCTCTGGAGTTGATAAAATTATCTCCACAGGCAGCAATGTCCTTAAATGCTGACTTTGAGTGTTTCATCTGTTACCTTATCTCTCCCTTCGCTCTTCTGCTGGCAAACATTCTCAACCTCTTCCATTTGTCTCCTTCTTGGGCCAAATACCAAGTCCTGACACAGGCAAAGTCTTTAATCTGCCTTTGAAGCTACCAGGAGTTTTGTCTGAGCAAGACGCAGCCTTTTGCTTGCAATTTTCCAATTAATCTATTTTTAGATTACATTTAAGACTTCCTCCAGCTTATCTCAGCGCTCTCCACAGGGACCATCCCCTTTCAGAGGGGAAATGCAGAGACAGGGCCACAGAAATAAAAATCCAGCGAGCCCTGGGACATCTCCACTCCCTGGGGTTGGATCCTTTCCTGGATTATTCCTCCCCACCTCCTGCATCCCAGTTCCAGAAAATTGAGGGATCTCATGCTCAGCTGTCAGTCAGACATGGGAAGAACATCCCAATTTCAGCGCTCTCAACCCATTTTTAAAAGCTAGAAACTCCCCAAAAACCACCTGGAAAATCGTGAACCACCTCTGTGAAGGGCAAATAGCAATTTTCTCCTATTTTTTTTTTCTTTCCCTTCCTTTCAGTGGGAGTTGCAGAGTAATTCCTGGGGAAGAGAAGCCCTAAAAGGTTAAACACACGGGAAATTGGTTACTTAGAAGCGCTGGCAGCGGCAGAGACAGATTGCAGAGCAACGTATCATTGGAGCACTTTGAAGCAGCTATTTCCAAACTTCCCAAGATATTGACAAAACAGCAGGGTCGTGTCAGCTGCACTCCCAGCCTGGAATGTGGAGCTGGAGCTCGTGGAACACACACAGACATCCCTTCCCCGTGGAGACAGCAGGACAGCTTGAGGTTTGCCACCCAAAGAGCTCCCTCGTGCTCAGTTCTGGCTCTGAAGCTGCTCCCCAACAGCCACAGTCCTGTTTTCCTCCTTTTTTTAGGTCATTTTAGGTCCTGCTTCTTGTACTGCTACCCCCAGTGTGCTTTCCTTGCGTAGTGGTTTTGGTTCCCACTTTTGAGATTTTTGAGGAAACCAAATTTGAGATTTTGAGAAAAGCAAAACACCTTGGTGATGAACAGCCCACGGCTCAACTAAAACATCTTGTAGGGAATGTCAGACCAGGAGCAGGGCAGGGAAAAGGGGGTAAAACCCCTCAAATTCCAGCCAAACAGGAGGGAAATGCCTGCCTGAAATTCTAGGAGGTTGCTGCAGTTTCCTTCCTCATCATTCCCTGCCAAAGCTCTATGGAATCACCTAAAGGAAGGACATGGAGGGGCTGGAGAGTGATCAGGGACAGAAGAGGATCTGGGGAAGGGTCTGGAACACCAGGAGGAGCTGAGGGAGCTGAGAAGGGGCTCGGCTGGAGCAAAGGAGGCTCAGGGGGGACCTTGTGGCTCTGCACAACTCCTGATGGGAGGGGAGGATTTGGGATCTTAACCCAGGGACAGGGACAGGAAGAGAGGGAATAGCCTCAAGCTGTGCCAAGGGAGCTCAGGCTGGAATCAGCAGGAATTTCCCCATGGAAAGGGTTGTTAAACATTGGCAGGGGCTGCCCAGGGAGGTTTGGAGTGCCCAGCCCTGGAGGTGTCCAAGGACCCACTGGAGGTGGCCCTCAGGGCTCTGGGCTGGGGACAAGGTGGGGATGGGGCACAGCTTGGACTCCATGGTCTGGGAGGGTTTTTCCAACCTCAATAATCCTGTGAACCACCAGGCTGAAAGGAGGGGTTCTCATTTCAGACTCTGCAAAGACAAAATGCACAAGGAGCAACCAATCTTGTGGGAAAGGGAAAAGCTCCTGTGACTCCCTGCTCCGAGGGACAGACCCATGGTTACTCCTCCTGTTTGCAGCCTGCTGGAGAGGCTGAGGAGGAGATTCCCAGGCAAGCAGCAGCTGCCTGTGCATCAGCAGCTCGGAGTTATCAGGCAGGCTGAGCAGTAAATCCAGGGCACCCGCTGAGCTCAGCTCCGGCAGCGGCGGGGCTGTAATTACCTGGGACATGGAGCACAGGGGGATGCTGCTCCACCTCACCCCTCAGGAGGGCTTGGGCTTGGAGCACAGGCCCAGGGAACAGCTGTCAGCAACGGGAATGCACCTCGGGGGCTGCCAAACAGCAGAAAACACAGGAGCCCACAAGCCCTGCCCGTGGAGAGGCTGGCTGCTGGAGGTGATGGCAAAATACCTGGGGAGGGGAACACAGGGAGGGGAACACTCCCCACCTCCCCTCCTGCACAATGCTGGGATCCCAGATTTAGGATCAGGAGGGAAAGGGAGAGAGGATTTTCCTCCTAGCCCAGCATCAAAGTTAGTCTCAAATGAACGAAGAGGTGTTTCAGTCCTCACAGCCCTCTGCACCTCCCAGCCCCCACTTGCTGCCTCCTCCCTAAATTCAGGCATGAAAGGGTGGTGAGCACAGTTCAAACACCCTCCCTGTACATTAATTTTGCCTTGCTCAGCTTGTCATCCTGCCAGGCTGCCTTCCAGCTGCAAGGTGCATCCGTCTGTCCCTCATTTCCCCAGGAGATGCTGTGAAACAGGAGTTCCACCCAGGTGCACCGGTGAATTGTGGCCACAGCTGGGGCATCCACTCCTGTGCAGCCCCAAATTCCACTCAGAGAGGAGAGGAGGACAACTTTCCTTCATTAAAACCACACAAAGCCAAGAAAACCCCGAGGAGACAAAGCTCTTTAGCAGCTTGCCTCACTAATTCTCGTGCATGTGAAGATGACTTATCCCAGACTCATCTTCAGCTGGCTGAAAATAAATCAAACCAACTTCCCCTGCTGAAGTTTCCAGCGAGAACATGTCAGGAGCTGTGCGTTCACAGCTTGAGTGGCTCCTCTCTCCTGCTCTGACAGCAGGCTGGGTTGATGGACAGCTGTCTGTGGAGCATTCCCAATCTGCTCCCCCCCAAAAAAGAGTGGGATGGCTGGGAAAGAGTTCCCTGGGTCCTTCAGGGTGGGAGGTGCCTTGTGAGAAGCTGCTGCTGGATCACGAGCTGACCCCTGAGTGCAGCACAAATACAGAATTCTTTTCCTGCTAAGCCCCTTTTTTTAATTTTTTTTTTTTCATCTTTCAGCTCTGGAAAGTCAAGAGAATAAAATAAATCAGGGCTATACTGGGGAGTTTTGTGTTCTCTCTGGAGATAAAAGTCTCTAAATACCAAGCAGAATTATGGACGATTTGCCTCCGAGAGGGAGCAAGTTGCTTCTGAAACCACTGATACATTTTTAATGACTGTATGAGCTGGTGCTCTTCTTCACTGCTATCACCACAGCCTCCTGCTATTTGGAGATTTCTGCAGAAAAAAATTCTTAGACAGTAGAGCAAAAAGCCAAAAGGCAGAACAAAATGTTAAATCACTAAAAGAAAACACCCCAAAACTCCTCTGCTGGAGCTGCCACAGAGATAAAGACATCCTGAAAAGCAGCCACCTCTGTGCTCATTCCCTCTGCACAGCCTGACAAGGACACTCGAGGAACCTGCTGTTATTTCATGGAATTATGGAGTGGGTTTGGGTTGGAAGGGATCTTAAAAAGCATCTGCCATGGGCTGGGACATCTCCCACCACCCCAGGTTTCTCCAAGCCCTGTCCAACCTGGCGTTGGGCACTTCCAGGGATGGGGCATCAACTTTTCTCCCACCTCCAAAAACGCCCCCACCCTGCAGAACCTGTGTGGCATTCACACTCTCTGAACAGAGGGAGACATAATTCCCTCTCCCAGGATTTCTCCTGGGGAAGGCAGTGAGAAAGATCAAAAAAAGAAGAGAAAACTCAGAGAAAGAAGAGAAAGAAATTCTTATCTCTATTTGCTGCTCCTGCTGTTTGGCACATGTGGAATGTGTTATGGAGATTGTTCACAGAAAGAGATCTGTTAATTGGATACCAGTAATAGTTGTTTTGATTGATTGATTGATTGATTGACCAATTAGGTCAAAGCTGTCGTGGCTGTCTAGTAAGGTTCACAAGTTTTTCTTTAGTATCTTTTCTAGTATAGTATTAGTGTAATATATTATAGCTTAATAAAGCAATTGTTCAACCTTCTAAAATCATGTTATTCCCCAACTAAAAAATGTATTTTACAATAAACCTCTTCCTTCCACATCTGTCCCCAGCAGGAGCCACAGAGGGCTCAGCATCTCCAGCTGCCCTGGAGAGCA